GCGTGACGTAATTCCAAAACGTTTCCAGATCGATGGATTGGTAGAAGAGGTGCCATTGAATGGCCCCCAAGATCGCCAGATTTATCACCTTTGGATTTCTTTATGCGAGGTCATTTAAAAAGCAAAATCTATGCTACTCAGCCAACATCATTAGAAGACCTGCGACGAAGAATTGTGAATGAGTGCCTTCAAATTACTCCTCAAATATTGCAAAATGTGCGGCAAAGTTTTGAGCAAAATCTTTATTATTGCATGGAGAGTCATGGTGCCCATTTACTTGCCTAAAGGGTCAGTTCATTTTTCATTTTTAAATTACTTTGCTGCCAAGTGTATTGATCTCCACTAATGATGATGTATTAGTATTATTTAAGCTTTAAATCAATAAATCTTCAAAACTACTGAACTGAAGTACGTTAATTTTATATCATTATAAAGGGAATTGAAAGACCTTCAAAATAAGGTATCACTCGACCCCCCTTTCCATTTAAGATTTTGGGGGTGGTGTCACCCCCGCTTAGGGGGCTGCACGTGATAACGTGTTTTTATGCCAAACTTGTGTCCCCCTCGAAAACAAAATCGACCGGTCTGAGCGTTTAAAAAAAAAGAATTGCCCTATATAGAAATTACGTAACTAGTTATTTGACATCATAAATAGGTGCTTTTTTAACATTTTTGCAAGTAGCTCTGCTGCCACTAAAGCTAAAACTGCTGATCGATTGCCGTTCCTATCAGCTTTACAAAAAACACTCAGACGCGCATTATTTAGCTTGTTGACGCTATTCCATCCCCGTCTTGGTCGACTCTGTATACTGTAATCCCCAGAAATAGCGAATACTAAATTCCCTTCACGGTTATGATATTTCCCTCATAAAAGACGAAACTTTTCCCTTCATTTCCTCCGAATTGCTAATACAATCATTCCGGGAACGCGGAGTTTTTCATTATCTGCAAACGTAAAACTCTCTCCCCGACGATTCCGTCTTGAAGAAAAAGATAAAAGTTCATAAGTTGCTGCAAGGCGAACAGGTCTCGTTATTACTTCAACAAGGCGATCAACTCAATTTTGAGGCCGTTCAGAAGCACCTAATGTCGGCTCATGTTACGCGGCGCGGCGTCCGACATCATCCTACCCGTTGCTATGGCGACGACGCCGTGACGTCAGCGGCCGACGGTCGTCACGTCGTTTGTTTCTTTCCGCTGCAACGAGCTTATCTTTTTTGCTACGCGTCGGTATTCTCCTTCTTCAAAACGCGAAACGTTTCGAATGTGACGTCATTTGAACTTGCTACCTAACGAATAAATTTTTAAAACTGACTATTTTTAATCATGGATCACTAAACTGAATCCAAATTCAAGATGAGATGTAAATAATAACAGTTAGCGCGTGATCTCTCGGTAACAGGTGGGGACAGCGCCTCTTATTGGTCAATTTGCCATTAAATTTCAAGCGGTCGCCTGGCGGAATAATGCGCGGAGAAGGGGCAGGGCAGGCAGAATTGCATTCAGGCCACCGACCGTCGCGTGTATCACTGCGTGCTCGTGTTTTCGTATTCACCTTGATTGGTTGTTGCTGTTGTTGTTTTTTTTTTATATCGAAACAGCCGCACAGGCAGAAGCCTAAATGCCGGAACACCGCGGCTGCTATGATGATCCCAAAGAAATTTTGTTAATACGATTTTTGAACTGCCTAAGGTTAGTAGAAACTGGGAAAAGCTTCCTCCCGTAGATTGTTCCACAATCTAGACACCCTCGGGACAACGTATCGGCCAGTTCTGGATGTACGAAGTTTGACACGGTTAGGATGGGACGCCGAAGTCAGGCGGGTCTGTCTGGCAGGCACATCGCGCGGCGGCATCATGGAAGAGAGCTCTGAGGAGCAAAGCCCGTTGGTGTAGCGATAGAAAAGAGCTAGATCGCCGACGGCCCGCCGGTGCGAAAGAGTCCCGAGACTGTCTGTTAGAGAAGAGTCATCGATCAGTCGGACCGCCCTCCTCTGGACAGCATCGAGCATGGACAATGTAGTCGGGGCGGCAGCACCCCAAATGTGTGAGCAAGACTCGAGGCTAGGCCTTATCTGGGCCTTGTATAGAGTGAGAAGGTCATGCGGAGAAAAGTACTTCTTAGCCCTAAACAAATAGCCTAGCTTTTCCCAGCAGCTGCAGCTATTGAAGAGATGTGTTCGTGCCAGATCAGGTCCTCGGTAATCTGGACTCCGACCAGCCGAAATGAATGGCTCCTTGGTAGAACTCGACCGTCCATCGAAACTGTATGAGCGCTAGGACGCTTTTGTTCGTCAAAGTACAGTACTGTGTTTTGGAAGCATTGAACTGTACAAGATTGTTGCGTCCCCAAGCAGTGATAGCCTCCAGGTCTCTTGTCAGAGAAGAAGTCGTCGCTAGTCTTCTTTTTCCAGCTCAGCGGCAGAGATCGGCTTGTCACTCTGAATTCCTGCATGTAGAGTGCTGTCATCAGCGAAGCTGTGGATTGGGTTGATCGTGCAGGAAAGGAGGTCGTTGATATGTAAGAGAAACAGTGTCGGAGCCAAGACCGATCCCTGGGGAACACCCGCGTTGACGTTGTGGGATGAAGAGGAGAATCCGTCAATTACGACGGATATCTTGCGGCCAGAGATAAAGTCAGTCACCCATCTGCAAAGCTTTTCTGGGAGGCCGTAGGATGGAAGTTTGCTTAAGAGGGCAGCGTGCCACAGCTGATCGAACGCTTTCGTGATGTCAAGAGCAACGACATGAGCCTCACCATGAGACTGGATGAGTTTACTCCACAGTTGCGTGACGTAAGCTAGGAGGTCCCCTGTGGATCGTTGGTGCCGGAAACCGTACTGCCTGTCGCTAATCAAGCTGTGACGTTCGAGGTAGTCCAGAAGCTCGCGATTTATGCACCTCTCCATCACTTTACTTATAACAGAAAGCAGAGCTATAGGCCTGTAGTTGTAAGGGTCGGTTTTAGATCCTTTTTTTGGGATGGGCTGTACATGAGCAAATTTCCAGTTTTCTGGGAAGTTGCCGCATTCATAAGATATCTGGAAGAGACGCGAAAGAACTGGAGCAAGCTCCGCTGCACATCTCTTCAGTACAATGGCAGGAATCAAGTCCGGACCAGAAGCTTTGTTGATGTCGAGCGACAAGAGCACTCGTCTTACGGTCTTATGCCTGAATGTTACCTCCCGCATAGTGTGGGGAACCCTTTGAATTGACGGCACTTGGGCGTTGGTGGGGACGTCCATGGTGGAGTTGGCAGCAAAGATCTTGGCTAGCACTTCCGCCTTGGCCTTTGAGTCGAATACAATAGTTCCATCCTGACACGTAAGCGGTGGAAGGCTACTGTGTCAGAAGTTCTTTTCAATCTGCTTGGCCAGCATCCAGAAAGACCGACTGCCATTGCGCTGCGACATGACCCTGTGCCTAACTTTTATATCATGCTGGTTTTTGGCATTGCGAACCGCTTCGTTATATTTGTTTCTGGACTCGACGTCGGCTTGTCTGTTCTCTACAGTGGGGTTTTGTAAGTAGGTTCTGTGGGCCTTGATCTTCTGCTGGCGAGCAGTGTCACACGATTTGTTGAACCAGCCGTTGGACCCTGGTTTAGGAACTTTCACTGTGTGAGGGATGTATTCCTCCATTCCGTTGTTAAGTGTATTAGAGTAATTTGTTAAGTTTCTGTTTGTTATTATTTGTTGTTTTGTACCAATCCTGAACAGGTCCAGTACAGATACTGCTGACGAGGCTGTAGGCTACTCCCTTAGCCGTCCTAGAAAGCGATCAAAAAAAGACGTCTTAGCGTAGACATGAAAGATGTCATATTGAATACATTCAAGATAGAGCGGAAGGAAGACAAACAACTAACCCGAAAATAGCTCTGAAAGTGACAGATAAAATTGGGGTATGCCAAGCGACAGTGTACAAAGTTTTGAACGAACATAAGAAAAAGCATGCCTTTTCCAAGCCAATGACGGGTAAAAATCGCAAAAGTATCATAAGATCGTTCGATGACGCTGACAAGCATGCGATTCGGAGGAACGAGTTCTTCTTCAGAAACGAAATACCGACAGTTGATAAAGTACTGCGGGAGGTTAACGAGGATGCTATGTTACCAAATTTCAAACGTTCGACTATTCATAAACTTTTGAAGCATCTTAATTTCGAATGGAAGACACGAGGTCGTTACAGCTTACTTATGGATATAGAAGAAATTGTTCTGTGGAGTAGGGAATACCTGACCAAAATTAAATCATTCAGGGATGAGCACAGGAAGATCTATTACCTGGACGAAACCTGGATTAACGCCGGGCACACTACTCCGAAGGTACGGGTTGACGAATTTCTCTTATCAGATTATACAATCCCTAACTAAGTACTATTCTCTAAAACCCCTACTGTAAGGTTGAATTGTACCGAACACAAAAACAACTCACATTGATAGCCGCATTTCCATATAGTGAAAGTGATACACTGTTTTTGACCGTGTGACGCTGTTTCTCTCATATTTCACCTCGAGGGATAACATACAGCCTACGTCTTGTATACATAGACCGGTGGGTATCTAATCGATACGGTTTTGTCGGTAATCGTTAACGGGGGACAGCATAGGGGTGTGGTGATAGGGGTAGGAATAGTTATAGAGCTGACTGCTATTTTCAACAATTCATTTCGAGAAAGCTGGTTTTGAAGTTACTCGATTCATAGACGCCATGATATGTACAAATTCCTTAAAAGGAAGAGGGTTGTGTGCTGATTAAAGTTGCAGCAGGGTCTTCTGACCATCTATCAAACGCCCATTAACTTGATGTAATCTAACTTTATTCAGGCTTCTTCCGGTAAGAGGGCGTTGTGTACAATACAGAGTAGAGCAATCATTCCACTGCCTACTTCAGCAACTAACAGGTGGAAAACAGGGGATATCTAATGTTGCAGAATTGGTATGAATATCGATTCGTTATAATTCTAATATACAGATACCAAACCATACTACAGAGAGCCCACCTGCCAGTACTGATTTTGGTCTTCATTCCTGCCACGTGGCTTAACCCTCACCTCTGAATCTCCTATCCCACTTCTGATGCTACAAACACTTAAAATGCGTGAGCTAACACAATTATCAGGAACCAGCTTTCTTGAAGTTTGTTGAAAATGGTCGCGACCCCTCTGACTGCAAAGAGGAGTGGCAGATAGGGTAAAGGGCGGAGGGGTGATTCTATCCCACTTCTGATGTTTTAAACAGTTAAATTGCGTAAATTAGTAAAATTATCAGGACCCAGTTTACAACAAGTTTGTTGAAAATGGTCTCGACTTCTCTGACTACAAGGAGGAGTGGCAGACACGGTGAAGGGCGGAGGCGTGAGTTCTATACCACCACAGTTAAAATGCGTGAATTAGTGAAATGATCGGAACCAGCTTCATTGAAGTTTGATGAAAGTGGTCGCGACCTGTCTGAATACAAAAAGGAGTGGCAGGGAGATGAGTTATATCCCACTTCTGACTTCATAAACAGTTGAAATGCGCGATTTAGTAAAAATATCAGGAACCAACTTCCTTGAAATATGTTGAAAATGAACGTTGCAAATAGAGTGATGAGCGGAGGACTGAGTTCTATCCCACTTCTGATGTCATAAACACTTAAAATGCGTGAAATGATACAATTATCATAAACCAGCTTTTTTGAAGGCAGGTAGGTGAGGCCACATTTTACGTTATAAACAGTTAAAATGCATGAATTAGTAAAATTATCAGGAATCAGCCTTCTAGAAGTTTGTTGAAAATGGTCGCGACCTATCTGACTACAAAGAGGAGTGGCAGATAGGGTAAAGGGCGGAGGGGTGATTCTATCCCACTTCTGATGTTTATACAGTTAAATTGCGTAAATTAGTAAAATTATCAAGAACCAGTTTACAACAAGTTTGTTGGAAATGGTCGCGGCCTCTCTGAATACAAAAAGGAGTGGTAGAGATGTGAGTTATATCCCACTTCTGACTTCATAAACAGTTAAAATGCGCGAATTAGTAAAATTATTAGGAACCAACATCCTTGAAATATGTTGAAAATGGTCGTGGCAGATAGGGTGAAGTGCGGATGGGTGAGTTCTATCCCACTTCGGATGTTATAAACACTTAAAATGCGTGAATTGATACATTTATCAGAAACCAGCTTTTTTGAAGGCAGGTAGGTGAGTCCACATTTTACGTTATAAACAGTTAAAATGCGTGAATTAGTAAAATTATCAGGAATCAGCTTTCTTGAAGTTTGTTGTAAACGGTCGCGACCTATCTCGCTACAAAGAGGAGTGGCAGATAGGGTGAAGAGCGGAGGGATGATTCTATCCCACTTCTGATGTTTTAAACAGTTAAATTGCGTGAATTAGTAAAATTATCAAGAACCAGTTTACAACAAGTTTGTTCAAAATGGTCGCGACTTCTCTGACTACAAGGAGGAGTGGCAGACACGTTGGAGGGCGGAGGGGTGAGTTTCATACCACTTCTGATAATATAAACAGTTAAAATACGTGAATTAGTAGAATGATCTGAACCATCTTCCTTGAAGTTTGTTGAAAATGGTCGCGACCTCTCTGAATGCAAAAAGGAGTGGCAGAGAGGTGAGTTATATCCCACTTCTGACTTTATAAACAGTTAAAATGCGCGATTTAGTAAAAATATTAGAAAACAACTTCCTTGAAATATGTTGAAAATGGTCGTGGCAGGATAGCGTGAAGTGCGGAGCGGTGAGTTCTATACCACTTGTGATGTTATAAACACTTAAAATGCGTGAACTGATACAATTAACAGAAACCAGCTTTTTGAAGGCAGGTAGGTGAGTCCACATTTTACGTTATAAACAGTTAAAATGCATGAATTAGTAAAATTATCAGGAATCAGCCTTCTTGAAGTTTGTTGTAAACTGTCGCGACCTATCTCGCTACAAAGAGGAGTGGCAGCTAGGGTGAAGAGCGGAGGTGTGATTCTATCCCGCTTCTGATGTTTTAAATAGTTAAAATGCATGAATTAGTAAAATTATCAGGAATCAGCCTTCTTGAAGTTTGTTGTAAACGGTCGCGACCTATCTCGCTACAAAGAGGAGTGGCAGATAGGGTAAAGGGCGGAGGGGTGATTCTATCCCACTTCTGATGTTTTAAACAGTTAAATTGCGTAAATTAGTAAAATTATCAGGACCCAGTTTACAACAAGTTTGTTGAAAATGGTCTCGACTTCTCTGACTACAAGGGGGAGTGGCAGACATGGTGAAGGGCGGAGGCGTGAGTTCTATACCACCCCTGATATTATAAGCAGTTAAAATGCGTGAATTAGTGAAATGATCGGAACCAGCTTCATTGAAGTTTGATGAAAGTGGTCGAGACCTCTCTGAATACAAAAAGGAGTGGCAGGGAGGTGAGTTATATCCCACTTCTGAATTCATAAACAGTTGAAATGTGCGATTTAGTAAAAATATCAGGAACCAACTTCCTTGAAATTTGTTGAAAATGGTCGTGGCAGATAGGATGAAGGGTGGAGGGCTGAGTTCTATCCCACTTCTGATGTTATAAACACTTAAGATGCGTGAATTGATACAATTATCAGAAACCAGCTCTTTGAAGGCAGGTAGTTGAGTCCACATTTCACGTTATAAACAGTTAAAATGCGTGAATTAGTAAAATTATCAGGAATCAGCCTTCTTGAAGTTTGTTGTATACGGTCGCGACCTACCTGGCTACAAAGAGGAGTAGCAGATAGGGTGAAGGGACGGAGGGGTGATTCTGTCCCACTTCTGATGTTTTAAACAGTTAAATTGCGTAAATTAGTAAAATTATCAGGACCCAGTTTACAACAAGTTTGTTGAAAATGGTCTCGACTTCTCTGACTACAAGGAGGAGTGGCAGACACGGTGAAGGGCGGAGGCGTGAGTTCTATACCACCCCTGATATTATAAGCAGTTAAAATGCGTGAATTAGTGAAATGATCGGAACCAGCTTCATTGAAGTTTGATGAAAGTGGTCGCGACCTCTCTGAATACAAAAAGGAGTGGCAGGGAGGTGAGTTATATCCCACTTCTGACTTTATAAACAGTTAAATGCGCGATTTAGTAAAAATATCAGGAACCAACGTCCTTGAAATATGTTGAAAATGGACGTTGCAGATAGAGTGAAGTGCGGATGGGTGAGTTCTATCCCACTTCTGATGTTATAAATACTTAAAATGCGTGAATTGACACAATTATCAGAAACCAGCTTTTTTGAAGGCAGGTAGGTGAGTCCATATTTTACGTTATAAACAGTTAAAATGCATGAATTAGTAAAATTATCAGGAATCAGCCTTCTAAAAGTTTTTTGAAAACCGTCGCGACCTATCTGGCTACAAAGAGGAGTAGCAGATAGGGTGAAGGGCGGATGGGTGATTCTATCCCACTTCTGATGTTATAAACAGTTAAATTGCGTATATTAGTAAAATTATCAGGACCCAGTTTACAACAAGTTTGTTGAAAATGGTCTCGACTTCTCTGACTACAAGGAGGAGTGGCAGACACGGTGAAGGGCGAAGGCGTGAGTTCTATACCACTCCTCATATTATAAGCAGTTAAAATGCGTGAATTAGTGAAATGATCGGAACCAGCTTCATTGAAGTTTGATGAAAGTGGTCGCGACCTCTACAAAAAGGAGTGGCAGGGAGGTGAGTTATATCCCACTTCTGACTTCATAAACAGTTAAAATGCGCGATTTAGTAAAAATATCAGGAACCAACTTCCTTGAAATATGTTGAAAATGGTCGTGGCAGATAGGGTGAAGTGCGGATGGGTGAGTTCTATCCCACTTCTGATGTTATAAATACTTAAAATGCGTGAGTTGATACAAACCAGCTTTTTTGAAGGCAAGTAGGTGAGTCCACATTTTACGTCAAACATTTAAAATGCGTGAATTAATAAAATTATCAGGAATCAGCCTTCTTGAAGTTTGTTGTAAACGGTCGCGACCTATCTGGCTACAAAGAGGAGTGGCAGATAGGGTGAAGAGCGGAGGGGTGATTTCTATCCCACTTCTAATGTTATAATCAGTTAAAATGCGTGAATTAATAAAATTATCAGGAACCAGGTTTCTTGAAGTTTGATGAAAATGGTCGCGACCTCTCTGACTACAAAGAGGAGTGGCAGATAGGGTGAAGAGCGGAGGGGTGTCACTGTACGCGGTGCCACCGCCAATGCCGCTGAGACCGTAAACCGCCACAATTACTGGCCGCGGGCGCGGGGGCAAACATGTCCACGGGAGTGACGTAATTCGAGGTTATTTTCACACAAGATGGACTCGTGTACTACTCCAGACTACCCCAGACGATAATCGATTAGTTTAGATTTAGTCTAAATCGATTAAAGTATAACTAGTTGGACATAGCTGGGGTAATCACATATACGGCATACGTAAATGCTAACATTGACCTTAATTGATATTTATATATACCATCCATGCATGATAAGTGTTAGGTGAGCCTCTCTGGAGGTCTGCGTCGATTGATTTTCACAGTATAGGCTAGAGATAACTTCCACTTGGTGTTTGTACGTCTAGTGAGGTAAACAGCAAGTAATATATTTGAGCTTCGCTAACAGCTTTCTCGGTTAACGTGGCTATCATTCAATAATGAATTAAAATCATTTTATTTTTATTAATAAATATCAAGATGAAATGCTTATCATAGTGCTTCATTTATTTATACATTTCTCTTTGTAGACAAAAACTCCAGAATCCAGCTCTTAACATGAAAAAATAAGTAACACAAAAAGTCCTGGAAGCGGTATTATGTAAAAACGTCAAAAAACCGACCAAATGTCAATGACACGACACGCTCAAGCATGCATTGTTGGTTGCAGAAATCCAACTAGTGTTTATCTCTGAGCAGATGTGTAAGAAAGAAAGGATGAGTAGCAAGATTTACTTTGTGGAGTAATTATCGTAAATACCGTCGACATACTTCCAAAATGGCCGCCATTTAATCACGGAACTGAATGAGGATTACCGCAATGAAAGCACAGCCGCCACTGATGATTTGAATATTTCCATCGTCCGTCCGTAATAGCAAAGTGACGGCG